TTGTGCGTCCATGCGGGTTATTAACAGCTAAAAACAAACAGATAGCTTAATGTGCACCTTATTCTGCCTTCTTTGATGCATCAGGGAAAGTCAGAGCTGAGGTGAGCTCAAAGTGGGGAACCTTGTTGTAGATCTCCGGTTGGCTTTTCAGCGTTGTCGTGATGCTTCGAGCCTCGGGTCCCAGACCCGGCATGAACACAAAGTCCCACATCACCTACAGGAGAGTAAGTAAACTATATCCCACATATATTTAACAACCGATATATGCTCATTCTGAAATCACTTTAATTGCCAAGGGTATAATGACAAAACAAATGGTATCGACACCAAAACAACACCAGAGAGACTACTCAAGCTAAGATAATTATCTAGATGGGATACTTTGTAAAGCAAAGTAAAGTGGGAGCGTTGGTATATGGAGTTGCTTGACCGACACAGCCGATCTTATTGGTGGGCTATTAAATGGCTGATAGGAATGTGAACGGAAGGCAAATATGAAGAGTGAATACCTACGGATGAGAATAATGTAAAAATGGAAGGTGAAGGAAGGTAAATGGAAAATGACGAGTAAAATGAGCAAGAGATGAAGAAGGAGGGGAAAGAATATGGACGAGAGTAAGGAGATAGGTGTAGCGTCCCGGGACTCCCTAAAGACAAAAGAAGACAAAATATTCGGACAAAATATATTCAGCGCTAAGCGCTAAGCTATTGGCATGGCCCAAAAGTTCAGCCCACCCAGCCAGTTACATGGGGGGCTAATTCAAATTACAAAAGTGGCGCCTCACCAGAACCAAGAAATAAATCACTACCGTATTACATAGGTGAAGGTATCTGACTTGTAGGTAATTGGTAATGAGACAAAAGTAAAAGTAATGGTGATAGTAATGAAAATAAAATAGGAAGTCAAAAATAAACCGAGGAGGGAGAAAGAGGGAAAGTATAGAGGGATATTGGTAAGAAAGGGAATAATGAAGCAGAAATGGTACGTAAATGTAAAAAGACTAAGATGTGAATCAGGTTGGGTGGTTGGATG